ACGAGGAGTGCGAGAGAGGGGGGGGGGGGGGGGGGGGGGGGTGTGTGGCTGCGGTGCCATTGACTTCAATGCACCGCCATGCCCCTTCCCACCCCTGAAGGCAAGGAGCCGGCCGGAGTGTGATACATTGAGTTCCAAAGCCTGACTGTTTTGGAACGCGCTGTTTGTGGTGTGAACCGGCCCTTAGAGAAAAACGCGTGGGCTTTCTATGATAAGCCAAGGACCAATGTACAGTGACTCTTGGTAACCATTTCATGATAAGCCAAGGACCAATGTACAGTGACTCTTGGTAACCATTTCATGATGAGCCAAGGACCAATGTACAGTGACTCTTGGTAACCATTTCATTGGTCTGCAAATCTTTACTTTTTGTAAGCTGAAACCAGTTGGATTGCTGCACACAACTACACCATTATTTAGCTCTTGCCTAACTGCACACTCACACCTAGCAGTGTAGATATCTTATCGAGTCTCTAAGGAAGTTGGCTGTGTAATCATTTACTGGCCTTGAGCATTGCAGGTGGACAAAATGTATCACTGGACAGACACTGCTATGTAAATGCTGATTTTTTTTCTTGGTGTGCTCCCAGCATATTATAGCGTTTTCTGTTTTACCATACCAAAGCACTTTCCAAACAGAACTGTGCTGATCCTGAAGGGCTGATAGATACACATTTGGGTTAAATAAAGCCCACCCTGGTAATTAAACTCGCCATGCTTCTAACAATTTATGTTGTGTCTGTCAGCTTGTATTCCTTTTATCTGGCTTCACTGTTTACAAGTTATATTAAGCAGAGTGTTATGTTTTTTCACTAATCAATTAGAAGTAGTCTTACACACAATCCTTATCTTACATTGTTTAACATGGCGGTTGGCTCAGTAGAGCAAGGCGATTAGTGTGTCTGTTGCACAAGACCTTGTCTTGCAGATACGAAAATCCATTTTAGATGTAGTACCAACAGCCTTATGAATTTCTGAACATTTGGTATCCTTGTCGAATAAAAGACAGTAACCAATTGCTGTATAACAGTAGTTTAGTCAGCAAGCCAATTATTGTTAAACAATGTGCTAATATAGCAAGATATATTTGGGCTTGACTCATTGGAACTCTGCCTTCGGCAACCTGTAGTACTTTGGCTGTTTTACAGAAAAGACTGTTAGCTGCTCTTAGAGGTTTCCAGAAGATCTACAAAGTTAAACTTTGGCTGAAAGCTGCAGGTCTCCTACTGTGATTGTATTAAATGTATTTTAGGACTTTTTTTTATTGGATTAATTACATATTTACATTTAATACCAGTAAGGGAATTTTAGCAAATCCAGCATGGATATGGCTAAGTAGCTAACCTCACTCTATATACTAAAACACTACCTTCCAGTCTACTTTCAGCACTTATAAGCTTCCAGTATATGTCAAATGTCTGGATTATTTCCACTAATGAACATTTATTAAAAATTATTAAAATAAGTAACTAACACAAGTTAAATATCAGCTAAAAGTTGTAATTTATATACATATACAAATTATTGTAGAACTCAGGAGCCAGAAGACAGGGGCTTCTGCTATGACCAGTAGACAATGCTAAAAAAACCAAATGGGTGACATCTGTAACTTTTTATTGGACACACTGGCTGTCTGGCTCCTGGGATTTGTCTGACTCTAATTTTTTTTTTTTTGGTAACGTCTGTTTCTTGGCACTGGTTTAGTCAGAATATGTGCGTGTCCTTCGATTTTAAACCTTTATTTTCTCTGTGCCTGGTCAGATTTGGTTTGAACAGTCTTTGTGATTTGCCTGTCGATTATCTTTGATGTAATTTCCTTTCCACAGTTTTTGACAATGATGCTACTGATTTTGCAGTTTTTTTACCCTGGAAACTACAAAAAATGTAAAAGATATCCCTCTTCAAAGAGATGGAAATTTGCTGTGAATTTGTCATGTGATCATAAGCCAAGAAACACTGAACCTTATGATTGTCAACTGTATATAAATGTCAGTTTCTCTGACCATATATCATTCAGATACCATGTCCAGGCTACATTACATTAAAGTTGGAGGCCATTGTGGGCCTCATCACTTATTTACTGGGATTGTTCCTATGTTGTTAACTAAAGTTTCTTAA